CCATTTTGTCACTTCTGTTTGTCCATATATTTTGGGGAATGAACAATTATTATTGGCAAGTTATGGCATGTATTGTTTTGAAAAGCAAATATGACTCCCTGATTAAACCAATTGTTAGATCCTGTGAATCTTAAGGAAATTAATAATAATAATAATAATAATAATGATAATAATAATAATAAAGTTGGAAGGGACCTTGGACAGGTTCTTAGTGCTGTTAGCATTACTGTGGCAAAAGCAAGCAAGGGTAATACCAATAGTAATAGGCCCCTTGGGTGCAATCCCAAAACAACTGGAGCACCACTTGAACACCATCGGCATTGACAAATTCGCCATTAGTCAATTGCAAAAGGCAGCCTTACTAGGAACCGCTTCCATCCTGCAACGATATCTGTAATACCATCAAATATCCACGTCTGCCTATCCCAGGTTCTTGGTAAGGACTTGATAGGTAGACAAAATGCCAAATCCAGTCTGAACATCTGGCTGACTGTGCGATGATGATGATGATGATGATGATGATGATGATAATGATAAAGTTGGAAGGGACCTTGGACAGGTTCTTAGTGCTGTTAGCATTGCCTCCTGTGTATAAAATCCATAACCCTTCTGGCTGGTAAGACCACCTGTAGTTGAATTTGAGCAGTAGCAAATTCATCCTTGAACAAAGGCATAGTGAAAGAGGTGGTGGTACACCCATCCTCAAAAAAACCTTCACTGGATACAATAATATTGCACAATTTCGGTCCAGTCCCCAACTTCCCTTTGGGGGTGGGGGAAGAGTATGTAGAAGATGGTTGGGCTGCAACTTAAGAGGGATATAGAAGAAACAGATTATCTGGACCATTTTGAGGCACCTTTCAGGCCAGGATATTCCACTGAGGCAGCATTGATTACATTTGTGGATGATTTCTGGTAGAATAAGGGGGGGGGTTCAGTTCTCTTGGTTGTTCATCGCTTGGTGACTTCCTGCACCACTGATCATCATTCTTTGGACCAGTTTAGTATATGAGTATGAGAACTACTGTTTTGCAGTAGTTCTTCCTTCTCTGCAGTCTGTGTCGATAGGAAAAGGCAGGTCAAACCCATAGCCCCTGCTTTCTGGAATTCCTCAGGCCTCAGCATTTTCCCCATCGCCTTTAACATGTACATGAATATGCACAGTCTATATGAGCATGCATAATGCAGATTATCTGATGTTTTGGACTCCGTTATCATCGGAATCCAAGTGATACTGCTAAGGTGCTGACCTAGTGTCTGTTTGGGGGGGAAACGGGGTCAGTCCTAGCAAGATAAAGTAACTGATTCAGGAATTGGGACACCTCATCTTTAGTTCTCAATCAGGTTCTATTTCTTCAGACAGAACTAGTTTGGGAATCCTCTTGGGCAAGGGTAAGCAACCTTGGCTCTTTTATGACTCGTGGACGTCAACTCCCAGAATTCCTGAGCCAGGCATGGCTCAGCTTGGAAACTCTCCCTTTCCACTCAGCATGGCTGGCTCAGGAATTCTGGGAGTTGAAGTCCACGAGTCATAAAAGAGCCAAGGTTGCCTATCCCTGCCCTTAGGATTCATGGCTCCTGATGGAAGAGTGAGTGGCAGCTATGGCTGGGAAGATTTTTGCAGAGATCAATCCTATGCACTAGTTTCATCATTTTAGAGCTAACAGCCCATTCTAGTGGTTTAAAGTTAACTACTGCCGTACACTCTGTGTAGGGCAGGGGTAGGCAACCTTGGCTCTTTTATGACTCCTGGACTTCAACTCCCAGAATTCCTGAGCCAGCCATGCTGAGGGGAAAAGGGAGAGGTTTCCATGCTGAGCCATGTTGGCTCAGGAATTCTGGGAGTTGAAGTCCACGAGTCATAAAAGAGCCAAGGTTGCCTATCCCTGGTGTAGGGTGTCAAAAACCAAGAACTCTACCATTCAACCCTGATATTCATTTATATACTTCTTTGGGGATTTATTGCCAAAAAGATTTTCTGGATATGTCTGAAATCTGAAGATAGTGTTACATATCATTTGATAAACCCCAGATCAGAAGACATCTTAGTATCTGATCAAGAAAGATAGTAATCCCAGATAAACCCCAGATCATAAGACATCTTAGTGTTTGGTCAAGAATGATAGTGACTCTGGAGGAGACCTAAGCCATAAGGAAGCCTGGCCATTGATAGTACCAATATTGAAGGAGGAAATTCTTGTTTTACAAGTATGTATAAGATTGAAGTATGGAATGAGAGAACTTGAAATTGTTGTATCAGAATTGCACACTAAATTGCATATTTTGGGAAGATATGACCTTAGGTTTATGGAATGGGCCACTTTAAATCAGATGAGTGTGTGAGATTATGCAAAGGAATAGATGCCAATATTACTCAGAAAAACATTGCTTAAATATATGGTTGGCTATAACTTAACAGCATAGTAGAATTTGTGGTTTTAAGGTGAATATCATGATTTCCAAGTTCATATGAGGTGGAAAACTGAGGAATTCTTTGACAAATAGGGCTAAATACTGTACAGACTTAATAATACAGTACAATATTTTTATTGGCTGGATGGAATGCAGGTATTGAAAAAAAAATAAATGATCCTGAAAGTACTGGAAGATTTACACCAGGCATGTCAAACTCACGACGTCACGGGCCGTATCGTGACTTTTTCCCCGTTGCCGGCAATGAGGTGGGCACGGTTTTGGCATGACGCATCCGGCCGGCAGTTTGACATGCCTGATTTACACTGAATAAATGCAATAATACAGGAGATAGGTTAATATGTTTTATGAAGAGATTTATTGATGACACTTGCTTCAAGTTTCAAAAATGCAGATTGTCTGCATGAATAGAACTGAGTGCCCATGACAGTAATTGGCTTGATCAATTAGGTAACAAAAACAGGGTGAAGAAGTGCAATAGAATAAGACAGACATTTCTAGAAACAGACTATAAGCTACTGGCATTTTATCTGCATAGTTGATAGCAATTTAGTAAATTAAAGAGTAGGTATGGCAGTGTTTCTCAACCTTGACAATTTTAAGGCATGTGGACTTCAACTCCCAGAATTCCACAGCCAGCAATGCTGGCTGTGGAATTCTGGGAGTTGAAGTCCACATGCCTTAAAATTGTCAAGGTTGAGAAACACTGAGGTATGGTATCAAAATTAATTCTGAAAGATATATAGTGAGAATATTACTTCATACACGTTCTGTATGCTTACCTTATATGAAATAAAGCTTTAACAATGGAAAGAGATGAGAGATGTTGTGAAAATTGAAGTAGAAAAATAATCCTCAAATTTGTATCAGTAAAAGATCCAAGTGGCTTTCAGAAGAAATTATAACAGAGAAGAAAAGGAAGGAAGCTTGGTCCCACAGTAAGGATGAATTATATAAATGCAGCATTTTCAGTGTCAAGCAGTCATGTCGGAACAAGGCTCTATACTTCAGTCAAGATTGTCAGCAAGTAGGGGAATAGAATAGTGCAAAAGTGAGGGATAGTTTTAAGAACAAAGAAATTGCAGGAAAATTTACAGCCAAGGCATGAATAGTTGAGTAAGCTTGGAATACAAGCAAAGGATATTAAACGAAGATGGGAAGATGCAGTATAGATATAAGATTTATTGACTGAAAAAATTGTATGCCCATGCATCTTATGTACAATAATCCAGGATGGCCCATAAACAAGATCTGTAAAACAAAATAAGATTTAGAAAGCAATACACAACAATAGCACTCTCTGATGTCCTCAATACCTATGCTTCCATCAAACAGTTACATTTCTATGTTTGCTAGGCTTCATTCACACTGTAACCCAGTTCCTGGGGGCAAGAGCCAGCTCCTTGTGGCTCATAAAAAAACAAAAACATCTAGAGAGACTGTACACAACAGGTGACTGCAATAGAAAACAAAGTGCAAAATGCAGTGGAACAGCTATTAAATACCAGGTGCTTATGAAATGCCCATTGTTTAAAGCTGAGGGTGAAAGGCTGATAAAGTACTAGCAGATCTGTGTCAACAAATATGAAACAAGATTGTATGGTTGGAAAATATGCCTACACCAAACAATATATATATATATAGCAATGTGTAGAGTGTCAAACCAGGCTAATTCCTCACACAAGTCAAAATATTACTTAAAATCTTACAGAGTAGAGCCATAAGGAGAAGCAACTTTTAGAAAAAGGCAGCAGACTACAAGGTCAGATGGGTAACCTAAGATGGAATACAAAGACAGCAAGTGGGGTTTTCTTTTGCATTATTGACTACAGCAAGGCTTTTGTGTTAAGTGTACCAGAATCTAGGTTAATGGGTATACCAGAGCACTCGCATATTCTTCTGAGGACTCTTTATTATGAGCAAGAAACTATTGTAAGAACTGAAACAAAGAGGTCGAGAATAGGAAAGGGAATGAATGAAGGATGCATATTGTTCCATATCTTCTGTTCAGCTTATTCAAGGAATAGAAGAATGGTTAAGATTGGATAAAATAATAGCTTGAATCAAAATTAGAGATTCATGTCATCTAGCATGCTTATTGAGTTTGACAGCAGAAGGGTCCACTAGAAAATGCAAGTCTTCCATCAGAGTTAGAGAGCTGCATTTAATCTTATGGCTGCAAATTTAACTTTGCTTTTTACCATATTTTTTTTTACTGATGCTAAACGATTAGCTACAACGAAATCTCATTCTAATTGATCATTGGAGTTGTGTGTCCATCATTCAGAAAGTATGTCAGCACAATAATGTACATCACTTGAGTAACGAAGTACCTGTAGTTCTGCAAATATTGCAAAGTACATCTTCAAAAAAAACCCATTGTTTCACGGAAAGTTTCTTGTACATCTTCAAAAAAACCCCATTGTTTCACGGAAAGTTTCTTGTACGGAGATCTGGTAAAGTCGGGGTTCACTGTATTTTAAAATTGTTTTTGTTTCATGTAACCAAGATTGTGTCTCGGGTGGATAAAGATCTCTTAAACCTCTCTTTTCTAGTGAAGGACAAAAATGAGTTATGCGGAAAAACCCGATGAAATTACAAAAGATGAGTGGATGGAAAAACTCAATAATTTACACATCCAAAGAGCTGACATGAATCGCTTAATTATGAACTATCTTGTTACAGGTAACAATCACTAGATTTACGATTGCCTCTTAATTTAAGAATGGTATTTAAGAACAGCATTTCCAGCACATGTTTATTATATTCATTGATGGCACTATATTAGAAGAGTCTTCTGAAGACCGAAAACACCGCTACTACCCACTCCACAATCTGTAATTATGTGCCCTATTATTATATAAACTGTGAAAAAGTTTAAGTTTTAACAATAGAACAGTGGTGGCGAACCTATGGAACGCATGCCAGAGGCGGCACTCAGAGCTCTCTCTGTGGGCACACAGGCCATGCCCTGGAGATGGCAACTGTCCCTCTTCAACCAGCCGCCCACTAAGTCGCCAAGGTCCCACATGCCCGGATGCATCCCAGCACCCATGCGCTCGCTGGCCTCTGTGTGCAGGGGCCGATGGTGTCAGGCAGCAGCCACCCCGGCCCCTGCCTCACGTTGCCCTGTGACAATGGCATCCCCGCCCTGCCTCCCCTTGCCTCCCCTCACCCCGCAGGACGAGCCTCCTGCCCACCGCCCCACCTGGCAGAGACACCCTGGATCTCCCCCAACCCTGCCCAGCCCCCACAGGCGTCCCTCTCCACGAGCAACATCAAGGTGATCACGCCCACCTTGGCCACTCCCACCCAATCTGCCATAACCACCACAGCCACGTCCACCAGTGGGCCACGCCCACCTGGCACCCGGCGATAAATAAGTGGGTTTTGGGTTGCAGTTTGGGCACTCGGTCTCTAAAAGGTTCGCCATCACTGCAATAGAGCCTCTTCCTAGAAGTTTACAGGCAAAAGGACAAGTAGAAAAAAGAGGAAGAAATAAGGAAGGAGTCCTACATAGCTACTAATTTTCTCAGAAAGTTTCTATTAACTTCAAGAACTGGCCATTGAGGAAGTTAGTTCCGAGAAGGAGCTTTAGTAAGAGAATGACATCTTTTAATCTTTTTTTGTCCTCTTTTGCAATCAGAAACTTCAGGTCTTTTTTTTTTTATTGTCAAAGCAAAAACCCGAAAAGTCATTCAATGTCGAAAGCCTTGTAGATGACTTTTTTTGTTTGTTTGTTTGTTTCGTAACACGTTTCTTCTTCCGTGTCATTTCAGAAGGTTTTAAAGAGGCTGCTGAGAAGTTTCGAATGGAATCTGGAATTGAACCTAGTGTTGATCTAGAGACGCTGGATGAAAGGATAAAAATTCGGGAGATGATTCTCAAGGGCCAGATTCAGGAAGCCATTGCACTGATCAATAGCCTTCATCCAGAGTTATTAGACACAAACCGGTACCTTTACTTCCATTTGCAGGTAAGCTAACAGATTCAAAGATGCAGGGATTATAGTTAACGTATCTAAGTAATAAATGTATTGGTTATTAAGGAACTACAATGATTGAATTCATAATTTATCTTAATATGTAGGGTAGACATTTTGAATGCCCTTTGGCCTTGTGGGAATATAATTGTGTCAGATATTTAAATGTGAACAGTGGAACTGGCTAGATCAAGGGTCTGCAACTTTAAACACTGAAAGAGCCACATAGACCTGTTTCCCAGAGAAAAAAAAACACTGGGAGCCGCAAAACTTGTGTGCGTGCGCGCACAAGGGGTAAGAACCTTGATTGAAAAGTTTAATTAAAAAGAAATAGAGGCTGCTGTGCATGAGTTCTCTCCCTCTCTCTCTCTCTCTCTCTCTCTCTCTCTCTCTCTCCTCTCCCTCTTTCCTCTCTTTCTCTTTCCTCCCTCTCTCTCTCTTTCCTCCCCTCTCTCTTCTCCCTCTTTTTCACTCTCTCTCCTTCTCTCTCCCTCTTTTTTCTTTTTCTCTCTTTCTCTTTCTCCCCCCTTCTCTCTTTTTTCTCTTTCTCTCCCTTTCTCTTTTTCTCTCCTCTCTTTTTCTCCCTCTCTCCCTTTCTCTTTCCTCTCTTTCTCCCCCCCCTCTCTCTCCCTCTCTCTTTCTCTCTCTCTTTCCTCTCTCTCTTCCTCTCTCTCTCTCTCCCCCCTCCCTCTCTCCAATCTTCTGTTCACTGGCAAGCTGGCTTCAGGCTGTTCTGCAACAAGCTGACACACATTATTGGACTGGCTCTCTCCGGCCCTTCCTGCTTCCTGCAGAGACGCAGCAAAGGGAGGAGCCCCGCCCAATAAGCTTGTCAGTTCATCGGAGAACAACTCTCTTTTTTACACACACACACACAGAGAAAGAGAGCAGGGAAGCGCAAGTGCCTCTCTCTGTCTCTGTCTCTCTCTCTGCAGAGGAGGCTGGGAGCCGCAGGAGAAGGCTCAAAGAGCCACATGTGGCTCCGGAGCCGCAGGTTGCCGACCCGTGGGCTAGATGCTCCAGTCCTGTAACAGTATTATGTTCGTATTGGCCTTGACATTAACCTGAATCAAATTGGAATTGGGGAAGATTTGCAACCCATGTTCTTGTTGCCCTTAAAAGCATTTAAATGTGCAGTTCTTTAGATGAGCATTAAAACTCCAAATATCTTAAGCCTGAAAAGGCAATCTTTGAACGATAGAATCACATCAGAGAGATCTAGGCCAGGGGTAGGCAACCTTGGCTCTTTTATGACTCGTGGACTTCAACTCCCAGAATTCCTGAGCCAGCATGGCTTAGCTTGGAAACCTCTCCCTTTCCCCTCAGCGTGGCTGGCTCAGGAATTCTGGGAGTTGAAGTCCGCGAGTCATAAAAGAGCCAAGGTTGCCTACCCCTGGTCTAGGACATGAAGTGTCCACATTCTTCATTTATTGACACAATAAAAACTTGAAAAGCTAAGTTGCATAGCTTTGCTTCTGACCGTTAGATATATTTTAAAATTTTTTTAAAGATGTTTGATCAAAGCCGGATATTCAGATGATGCTTATGATGTAGGAGAGAAAGTGTGTTTAACTTCCTATTTCTGTTCCCCCCCCCCCTTTGATCTGTGCAGCAGCAACATTTAATCGAACTGATTCGGCAGCGGGAAACTGAAGCTGCTCTGGAGTTTGCTCAGACTCAGTTAGCAGAACAAGGAGAAGAGAGCCGGGAATGTCTGACGGAGATGGAGCGCACACTTGCTCTCCTTGCTTTTGATAATCCAGAGGAATCCCCTTTTGGAGATTTGCTCAACATGATGCAGAGGCAGAAAGTAACTACTAGTTATGGAACTAAAATTAAAGATTGCAGAATTCTTAACTGCTGGTGCATTTACATTCATCTCTTAGTGCAGGGGTTCCCAACCAGGGGTGCGAGACCATATTCTGAGGGGTGCAAAACCTTGGGTTTTCAAAATTATAGTGTATATGCATAATTTGTTGCCATTATTTCAAACTTCTAAGGGGTGTGAGAATATATGAGAAGCGTTCTAGGGGTGCCGGGCATAGAAAAGGTTGGGAACCACTGTCTTAGTGGGTTGTGGAGAATAGGTAGCTTTATATCTTTTTCATAGTAGATTGAGCAAGCATTTAAAAGAAAATCTTAATCAGCTAAATCGCTTCGTTAATCAACTATTATTTTAATTAATCAGTTGTGAGAATTCAACTGGACTGGTAAATAGGCCTGACAATGAGGAATATAAAGGAGAAATGACTGCTTACTTTTCTAGTAGGTAGCTATATCAACAATAGAGATTCTTACCATGATAGGTTTCACGGTATCTGCCCCAAATGGAACAGCATACAATTGTAAAATAAACTTCTATTAGTGTGGTCTAGTGCAGGGCTTTTCAACCTTTTCACCCATTGTACCACTTTTAGGATATGGCAATATTCGAGTACCACCAGTCGCCTAGCAAGGTGTCAAAAACTTGATGACCCCCCCAAAAAAGAAAAAAAATGATAAAGTACAGGTAGTCCTCGACTTACAACAGTTTGCTTAGTGACTGTTCGAAGTTACATTGGCACTGAAAAAAGTGCCCCCCAAGCCACAGCCGAGCAAGACACCTGCCCGCCCGCCCGGCAGCGCTCTTCCTCCTGTCCGAGGTTTTCATTGTTGTGAGCATTTCTGTTGAGGATTGGCAGCAGGGGTGGAGTGGGGGGGGTGTTTGGTTTTTATTTCCCCCGTCTGCTGGGTGGTTGCAGCAGGTTTTGGTCACTTCACATGACCCTGGGACACTGTGACCGTCATAAATATGAATCAGTTGCCAAGCATCTGAATGTAAATCACAAGACCCTGGAGATGCTGCAACATTCCAGCTGATCGGCGCTTCTTCAGGGCTCAGCAGAAGCGCCAGGATCAGCGCTGCTTTCCAGCTGGAGTCTGGCACTGATCCTGGCGCTTCCGCTGAGCCCTGACAGCCCTGCAGCTCCAACCTTCTCTCGCTCAGGCTTGTGCGGTGCTGCCACCGGTTCAGCTCATTCCCCTCCCCCACTACCACTTTCCTAGGATGGTTGCATGCCAGGTGCCCATGTACCACAGGTGGTACCCGTACCACTGGTTGAAAAGCCCTGGACTAGTGGTTAAGGCACCAGGCTAGAAACCAGGAAGCTGAGTGCTAGTCTTGCCTTATGTACAAACGCCGGCTGGGTGACTTTGGGCCAATCACACATTCTCAACCCAACCCATCGTACAGACTTGTTTTGGGGACTTGACAAGTGAAGTGAATGAGGAAGCCAGATTCACTTAACAACTGTGTTACTAAACTTAACCGCTGCAGTGATTCACTTAACAACTGTGGCAAGAAAGGTCATAAAATGGGGGCAAAACTCAACTATAGGTGCCTGGCTTCACAGAAATATGTTACTAATCTAAGTTACTTGTCTCTCTTTCTCTAGGTGTGGAGCGAAGTAAACCAAGCTGTGTTAGATTATGAAAATCGTGAGTCAACCCCCAAACTGGCTAAATTATTGAAGCTACTACTTTGGGCTCAAAATGAACTGGACCAGAAGAAAGTAAAATATCCCAAAATGACAGATCTCAGCAAGGGGACAATTGAGGAACCCAAGTAAAATGTGCAGATGGACACTAAATCTCACACCTGCACAGTGATTATACATTTTTAATCAGTCTGTGACTGAAATATTTTTACTACAGTTCAGGACTTTTGCAATTTGGTTGTGTGTGGTTTTTTTTTTTGTTGTTTCTTTCCTTGGGAAGCATACTTTAAAGGGAAGGGGTCCCTTTTAAAATGCAGCAAAATGGCATTGGAAAAAGCATTACATCGCTTTTGTCCATCTGACTTAGGCTATGCACTGTCGTACTTTTTTTAGCCAAATACCAAGGTTCTTTTTTTAAATACTGTGCTGAAGGTTTGCAGTGTCTGGCCACCGAGACATATTTTGGTAGCCAGCGAATTGATGTTAAAGCTCTTGGCAACTCTCCAGTTAAACTTCACCTGTTTTTTCACTTGAACATGGACTTATTTCTGTGTTAATTTATAGCCAAACATGCATTCCCTATTTATAAGCTTGCAATTGGTTAAAGTGATCATTTTTTTTGTAAACCTCTCCTGCCAGTGTTGTTTACCGCATAGACTATAGTATAGAAAGCTTGTAAGCTGTAATTGAAGATAACTGCCCTTGCTTTTCACACCTTGGTGACTTATTTATATGGGGCTGAATGTTATGTTCATGACGGGCCTAGTTCTCCCAGAAGCATTGCGAAAAATAAAAGCATTTCCTTTTGTAGTTTTCAAGAATGACCAAAATAGCCTCTGAAGAAAAACGTAATCACATTATAGGTAGGCGTTCTTTCCCCAGAGTTTTTTTTTGTGTGTGTGTGGCTCTATTTCCTAATGCCAGTTGCAGTCATTACACTGCTTGGGGTGACAATTACAGCCTTAAAGCCTGTAATATATTTACGGATGATATGAAAATGGAAATAATGTTAGCCATTCCGAGTAAGAAGAAATAGCTTAATGTAAACCCAGTGGAACAGTATAAATGTTTGGGGGCCATAATTTTTAAATGATGGAATTATTTTTTTAACAGTTTCTTATCTTGGGTAATTGGTACTCTGATTTTTTACAACTCTCCTCCCTGGAGCTCCCATCTTTAGGATAGGAGTGTTGTTATCATGGTTCGGATTTATTTCTAGTTAAAGCCCCTGTAATTCCATGAGTTATTTCTTACTCAGTTGCTGCATTGCAGTCTCCTTTATGGATGGCTAATGGCCATGCAAGGCTGATTTAAAAACATTGTTCCCCTATCTGGCTGGTAGTAATAAGTGCTTAATCTGGCTAGTTTCAAGAGTACCATCCTGCAACTAACTCAGTTATCTCCCAAGATTGCTGAAGATTAGATATTTCCAGTTGCCAAGCTCTTATTAATGTTATTGCCAACTAGGAGCAATCTGCTTCTCTGTGCTCATTTTACACCTTTCTGCCAAAAGGAGAAGAAGAAAAAAAACAACCGAGAGTAAGTCATTTAGTTGTAGCCTAGTACTCCTCCTAGTGCTCTTGGTGAGTAAATGAGTATATAGAACGCAAACATTTGGCTTTCAGCAGGGTTGTTGCTACACTCGTTGCTTGGGGTAATAGACTAGCAGAACCATCAATCCCAGATTGCTCCTAAAAAAACAATTGAGAGTGACACAGCGGAGGTTCCTGATGAGGGATATGTATTTGTATGCAGCTGCATTCTGGATGAGACCCACGGCTAGACTAGTGTTAACAGTAGTTCGAAGATAAGATGGCACTTGTATTTTGCACTGAAGCTTGTACAGCCTGTCGGAGAGAAAGCTCTGACAGAACATGGCTTAACATTTTGGGAGATCACTCAACCTGGGATTGATGGTCACGGAGAGTTCAGTGTCCTGGGTTATTTTATATTCTTGAGTGTTTCCTAACAACTCTACTTGGCCTGATATGTTCTTTGAATTGACTAACCACAGCTACGCTGAAAGTCAGAACGTCTCTAGGCCAAGGGTAGGCAACCTTGGCTCTTTTATGACTCGTGGACTTCAACTCCCAGAACTCCTGAGCCAGCCATGCTGGCTCAGGAATTCTGGGAGTTGAAGTCCACGAGTCATAAAAGAGCCAAGGTTGCCTACCCCTGGTCTAGGCTTTCTTCAGATAGGACCAATTTATCTTTCCTCTTCTGGAGACGTAAGAAAGTATAAAGCCAGAGTCTCCAAGCTTGGCAACTTTAAGACTTGTAGACTTTAACTCCCAGAATTCCTCAGCCAGAGGAATTCTGGGAGTCGAAGTCTACAGGTCTTAAAGTTGCTAAGTTTGGAGACCCCTGGTTTAAAGCCACAGCTTTCAGCGTAGTCCTGACCGAAAGCTGATGTCCTGTGTTGCAGCCATGTTTAAGAGGTCTCCTTTACGTTCAAGCATTCTGTTGAAGCCATGGTTGCATAATAACTGGAATTTAAGAGTGTTTTTAAGAGCCAAATATGCGATATAACTACTTAATTGGTTTTTGTTAAAGACATCTCACACTGAAGCAGCTTTAATCTGTAAAGGTTTCTTGGGGGTAACTTTAAAGAAAAATATTTAAAATGGTATGAAAGAAAGCTATGCATTTTACAGAGCGTGCAAAGGTGTAGTCCCCGTGGTACTTTTAGGGATCTTTATATTCACATGTATATAAAATAGTTTGCATATACAAATTATAATATAATCAATTTGAATTATTCTCAGATGGGGAGGGTGTAAAATATAACTTATGAAAATATTATTCACAAAAATTAAACCCCACAGCCCTCACTACATAAATGAATTTTTGTCATACACATGAGAACTGTCTTGCCTAGTGGCTGTGAAAAATGGTTGCAATTTATCTCCATAATGTTAGATCACCACTCTTCACTGCTTAGCATTAAATACAACTTTGATCAATGCGTTTCCCATCTGGTTTTTCTTCTACTTTATTTTTATGAACCTCTTTATAGAAATAATGTTTCAGAGAATACAAGTGAGCTAGTTGCTCCTATCGGTCTGAGTAAATTTTGCAATCCACGTAGCGAAGACTGGAGTATATGTACAGTACATGGTGTAAGAAATGGAGGTAATGACAGATTTTATTTTCCTGGGCTCCAAGATCACCGCAGATGGGGACTGCAGCCAAGAGATTAAAAGACGCTTGCTCCTGGGGAGGAAAGCTATGGCAAATCTAGACAGCATACGAAAAAGCAGAGACATCACCCTGCCAACAAAAGTGTGTATAGTCAAGGCCATGGTTTTCCCAGTTGCAATGGATGGCTGTGAAAGTTGGGCCATAAGAAAGGCGGAGCGCAAAAGAATGGAGGCCTTTGAACTACGGTGCTGGAGAAGACTCCTGTGAGTCCCCTGGACTGCAAGGCGATCCAACCGGTCAGTCCTAGAGGAGATCAACCCTGACTGCTCTTTAGAAGGCCAGATCCTGAAGTGGAAACTCAAGTACTTTGGCCACCTCATGAGAAGGAAGGACTCACTGGAGAAGAGCCTGATGCTGGGAAAGATGGAGGACAATAGAAGAAGGGGACGACAGAGAATGAGGTGGCTGGATGGAGTCACTGAAGCAGTAAGCGTGAGCTTAAATGGACTCCGGAAGATGGTAGAGAACAGGAAGGCCTGGAGGAACATTGTCCAGGGGGTCGCGATGGGTTGGACACAACTTTGCAACTAACAACAACAACACGTGTATTTTTAAGGGGATGTGCAAAGCATCTCAAATTCAAAACGGGTTGTTCTAGCTACTCCCCAAGGGATCCAAGGTTGGAAGGTAGGCTCAACTGTCACAACAACAACATATATAAATATAGGTAGTCCTCAACATACGACCACAACTGAGCCCTGAATTTCTTTTGCTAAGGGAAACATTTGTTAAGGGAGTTTTGCCCCATTTTACGACCTTTCTTGCCACCGTTGTTAAGTGGATTGCTGCAGTTGGTAAACTGGTAGCACGGTTATTAACTGAATCCGGCTTCCCCGTTGACTTTGCGTGTCAGAAGGTCACAAAAGGGGATCACATGACCCCCGGGACACTGCAACCATCATGAATACGACTCAGTGGCCAAGCATCTGAATTTTCATCATGTGACCATGGGGATGCCGCAATGGTCATAAGTGTGAAAAACGATCATAAGTCACTCTTCGCTGCTGCTGTAACTTTGAATGGTCACTAAGGGAACTGTTGTAAATCGAGGACTACCTATAACATAAAAATAATGCTGACTCGTGCAGGTTTTGGAGAAGGAGCTATGTTTAGTAGGCACGTTGTTGGAATGAATGAAAAGGAGACTAAGCACATCTTAAAGGTAAGGCAAGGAGAGGCAACCTTGGCTCTTTTATGACTCGTGGACTTCAACTCCCAGAATTCCTGAGCCAGTATGGGGGAACTATGGCTCCTTCATGACTTGTGGACTTCAACTCCCAGAATTCCTGAGCCAGTATGGGGGAACTATGGCTCCTTCATGACTTGTGGACTTCAACTCCCAGAATTCCTGAGCCAGCATGACTCAGCATGGAAACCTCTCCCCCTTAGTGTGGCTGGCTCAGGAATTCTGGGAGTTGAAGTCCACGAGTCATAAAAGAGCCAAGGTTGCTTACCCCTGGTCCGATAAAGGGAGCCCGTGAAGGAATTCGCTCTATGTGTTGGACAAAGCCATTCAGATTCATTTTCAGTTGGATCCCAGCCTTGTGACACGTCTGCTGGAGATGCCCGTGGAGGAATCTTGCCCTGTTATCTAGGAACAATTTGAGCTGGTTGGGCCTGAGGAACTGACTTTAAAACTGTGGGCTCAGCTACCTGCTATATTCCTAGATCAGGGGTCTTCAAACTTGGCCCTTTTATGACTTGTGGACTTCAGCTCCCAGAATTCCTCAGCCAGGCACGCGTGCCTGGCTGAGGAATTCTGGGAGTTGAAGTCCACAAGTCATAAAAGGGCCAAGTTTGAAGACCCCTGTCCTAGATTAATGCAATGATTTTAAGCAGTTCAATAAAGTTTGATTTTTTTCCCCCATAGGAAACTAAACGTAACTTTTATCTAAATTATTCCTGTTTTGTAATGACGGGGATTTTGTGTGACCTTCAGTGTTAGCGTTTGAAAAAAAAAAATAATTCTTCAGTTTTGCCATGGAATGTAAGCAATCAGGTTTTGGGTTTGAAAAAAAACAACACCGTGGCCACAATTAGAAAGTCACTAATTGATTATTTTGTCATCGTATCAGTGCCTTGGCTCCATTTCAGCCATTGTAACCTGGCTGTATTGTGTTTTCTGTACTAAAGCCATCCAAAGGACATTTAGATGGCATCGGGACAAAGGAATATGTTTATTCACCTGTCATGCTTGCATCCTAGGTTTATCCCAATCTGAAAACGGCGGGTAATAATTTGTGTCCAACCTTTTATTGATTCCCTCACTTGGATTGTGCTGTCAAATGATTGTCAGTTCCTAAGAATTACATGGAGTTTTTCTTCCCCACAATCCTCTAGCCCAGGGGTAGGCAACCTTGGCTCTTTTATGACTCGTGGACTTCAACTCCCAGAATTCCTGAGTCAGCTATGCTCTAGCCCCAGTCCGGTCTTCCAATGGTGTATCCATCACCACTGTATCTGATCCCATCCACCTGGTTATGCTTTTCTCTTTCGCTCCCCCTTTCCCAACCTCAGAGACTTCTCCTGGATCTTAATAATAATAACAACAACAACAACAATAACAAAGTTGGAAGGGACCCTGGAGGTCCCTGCCTCCAGAAGCTGTGAATGCTCCAACACCGGAAGATTTTAATAAGAGACTGGATAGCCATTTGTCTGAAATGGTATAGGGTTTCCTGCCTGAGCAGCGGGTTGGACTAGATGACCTCCAAGGTCCCTTCCAACTTTATTATTATTATTATTATTATTATTATTATTATTATTATGGATCATCGCATAGTCAGCCAGATGTTCAGACTGGATTTGGCATTTTGTCTACCTATCGAGTCCTTACCCAGGACCTGGGATAGGCAGATGTGGATGTTTGATGGTATTACAGATATCGTCGCAGGATGGAAGCGGTTCCCAGTAAGGCCGCCTTTTGCAATTGTCTAATAGCGAATTTGTTGTTGTTGTTGTTGTTGTTGTTATTATTATTATTATTAAGACGTTTCACTCCTCATCCAAGAAGCCTCTTCCGTTCTCCAGAGTTCTTCAGCGAACCGAGGAAGCTTCAGGGGGTGAGGAGCGAGACGCCTTCCAAGCCAAAACCAAGAAATGAGGGGGGTCCCCCCGGGGCCCTCTGAGCTAGCTTGTTTTCTTGCAGACGTTTCATTACCCTACACTGGGTAACGTCATCATAGTTAGGGGACAATAAAGCGCCTGCAAGGAAACAAGCCAGCTCAAGAGAGCAGCTGGGACCCCCCTCGGGTCGACCCCGAGCTACACGTATTCTCCTTCATTGCTTACAAACCAAGAAAAGTCCATGTGCTGGAAACATTGCTCCACGTGGAAAGTCAACCATCCAATCTGCGTGGGCAGGACAGTCCAGTTTTGCCTCTTGAAAAAAGCAGGGGGGGGGGGGAAACCGCGATCCTGGATGGCTGAGAGTCTCCAGAGAGGCAGAGACCGGGCAGAAGAGGGGGGACATGATAGCAGTGTTCCAGTATCTCAGGGGCTGCCACAAAGAAGAGGGAGTCAAGCTATTCTCCAAAGCGCCTGAAGGCAGGACAAGAAGCAATGGGTGGAAACTAATGAAGGAGAGAAGCAACCTGGAACTAAGGAGAAACTTCCTGACAGTTAGAACAATTAACCAGTGGAACGACCTGCCTCCAGAAGCGGTGAATGCTCCAACACTGGAAGTTTTTAAGAAGAGACTGG